CTACATTTTTCTTTATAAGACAAATGAATAAAGGCATTAGTTTCACTGTGCTTCTTTTATAAAGAGCTGTTTTGCTTTTAAAATGATGGGTGTTAATTTTTAGGTGAAATTGTTTTTTTTACCCCTCCCCCTTTAGGTGAAATTGTTAAATGTAAATTTTTACTTTCAATAGAATAAAAAATTGAGAAAGATTAAAAGGTAATTAGTAACTAAACTCAATTTTATCTTCTTTACAATAACTAACTGAATTCTTGTTTTTTAAGAATTGTAAGAAAGAAGATTAATGATTAGGAAAAAATCTGTCTTAAGGTAAACATAATTAAATTCTGAAAACTATGAACTTTAAGAAGGTAAGACAAAACAAATAATTATATAATAGCACTAATTTTTGATTAACAAAGTGGATCTTTCATGGAAAAGATTTCTAACTACTATGACAGAACTATGTGTAGAAAAGTCTAAATAATAATGGTTTTTGGATATACATGATTAAGGCAATACATGAACATAAAGAGCTAATAAATAACAATGGTTCCTTATGTTCATAGAATTTTATAATTCTTAGTGTTTTACAGTGCAAACAAATTACCCAACTGTCAGGTCAAAGAAATGAAATACATCTATAAATATAAAAGTTTCCTGTTAAAATGAGGATAAAAAGTTAAAGACTGTGATTATGCTAGCATATATGTTTTGATAGAATTCTACATTTAAGATGAAAGAGGCATAAAGTTATCAACTGAGTGATATTCTATGATACAAAGCTAAAAAGTATAAACAAATCCATAGTTTAGGGAAAATAAATGCTCATAGCCTTAAGGCTGTAACATGAAACAACCTTATAGACTCTTCTATTTCCATATCCTTTTAAATTAGAATTAGAAAGAAATCTAAGCTAATTAAATTTTACTTCATTTATAATCCATACCAATTGGAAATAAGTTTGATTTATTTCCTTGATTGTATTTATAATTTTCATTCTTCATGTTTCTTCCCTGATAGCACAAATATCTGACAAATAATTGTGCTTGTATCTCAAACTAATTGACAATAATTTCAAAATAGTAGTCCCATAAAGAGGAACTGTGCATTATTTGTATATGTCAAATGAATAATTGTATCATTGTATAATTGTAAGCTCTTACACTATTTTAAAAAAATTTGTTACTTACAGTTGTATATAGATAAAAGTGCCTAGCAATACCCTCTACTCTGTTGGGTATAAATACACAAGATACTCAATATATAAACAAATCGTTATACAGTTACGTTCAAAATTAAAATTATAATTTCTATTAAACATGCTTTTATATTTAAAATAGTATGGAAATTGTATCTACTAAAGGGTATAAAGGAAATGAAAAATTGTTTTGGAGGCCAAGCCTTTTTTTTTAAATGTTTATTTATTAAAGTCTTTAAACAGCTTTTGTCATAGATATTCATATCAGATGCACTCTCATATATGTAAAATATAAAGTGATATAAACAATAAAGGTTAAGTTATTAATAATGAAATAAATCACTGCTTTAAACAAAGATACTGAGTACATACAGAGATTATAAGATTATGCTTTATATAGGTAGTTACTACATGCATAAAAGATTACAAACATGTCTGCTTTTCATGTAAATAAATAATATTTAAGAACAAAATACTGTTCCATTTTTGATATATGAAACATAAAAGTCATAATGAGAGCTTAATCAGCATATAGTACTAAAAAGAAAATAATATATTAGAGTAGTATAAATTCCTGAATTATATAAATATGGGAAAGGATCAAATATAATGCTTAATAGTTAAAAATCAATTTCACAGGATTTTGAAGATTTCATAGATAGACTCTGAATTCGTTATTAAGACTAATTGTTTAGTAGTTATCTTTTAAAAAACCCTCCCCAACAACTTGGCACTTACATAGCCAATAAAAGAAAATTTTTAACTATTTTAAGCAAACTCATATAAAATTTTAGGCGTGGCTTTCATCAAATACTTACAACTTAAGTTTAAATACATATTTCCATGTGAAAGTGTTAATATAGTTCATCGACACAGAAAATGGTATCAAAAGTGAGAGATTTAAAGGAAAATGGAGGAATAGGATAACAGAAAACAATTGAATGCATGTGACATGAACTTCAAAGGAAACTTCTTGAGGCTGAAGGGTTAGGGGCAGACTAGAGATGGGGGGAGCAAAATAAAAGAGGACAAACCAAAACAAACTATTATGAAAATGCCATAATGAAACCTGTTACATCTGAGGTTAATTTTTTTAAAGTTTAATGAAAGCTGGGAATGCAGAGATGGCTTAGTGGTTGGTTCCAACACCCACATCATGTACCTTATAATCACCTGTAATGTTAGATCCAGGAGATTGACAGCTACTTCTAAATTCTTTGAGCACCTACACTAATATGAATATGTCTCTGTGTGTTTGTATATATGCATCTAAGTATATAAACATATACATATACTTATACAAATACTTCCATAAATATATATATATATACATGTAAATATATGTATACTTAGTAAGTGTATGTATATATACTTATATGCATGAATATATATGCACACACACATATATATACTTACATACATATATGCACCATACTGCCACATATCAATAAACATAAATGATAAAACAAATCTTTAAAAATGTTCACAGAACCCCAGGAAAATGGATAATTCAATTTCCCTTATTTTAAGGAAACTAAACAAGCGAGTGGTTAAATGATTAATCCTGGATCTATATGCATAATCCCCATACTCCTGAAATCTCCTAAGTTATAGGAGTGAGTACCTTTTCCTATCCATCACAAGGTTTTAACTCACAAAGAGGATCTCTAAAGCCTCTGGAAAGTGCTGGTTATTAGAAACACTCAGTTACCAGAATGTTGAAACTTTCAGTCTCATTCATAGAAAGTTATCAGTGTGAGTGGTACAAAAGCCATTGATCATTAAGATTCACATGACACAAAAATTGGTGAATGCATTTGGATAATTGTAACATATCTGAACAAAGCACGGGATTTCTCTTAGTATTCCTTCCTATATATTGAATTATGTCTCTCTTCAATAAAGCTTCTTCTGAATTGTACATCTTTAATAAGTAAGTTTTGTATGCCATTCTAGTTAATGATCTTTTGGCAGGAAAGAAATATGGGAATCCACAGGCTTTTTAGAAAAACAAAGTATATATAATCTGGGGAATTCCAGATTTATTGATGACATCAGATGTAAAGACAATCTTGTGATTCTGAGCTTTGAATTTGGATAATCTGAACAACTTCAAGTCAAAATCGAATGTAATTGATATGAAACGAAACTGGCATATAAATAATTGAGGAACTACATAGTGTGAGAAAAATATTCCATACATGTATGACTAATGAAAATGAATCCAGCCACCTACGGTCACCTTGCTGGTCAGTAGAAGAAAAAGGATTAATAGGTAATGAGATTACAGTAAATAAGATACTTAGTGATGTAAACTGTTTCCTTATAATTAAAAATAACACTATTATTTGGTTATGAATGAATTTTATAGTTTCTTCTTTTTCTGATATAAAATTAATACTAGTGTGAACGTAACAAACCATCATACAAAAACTATGGACTCATTATACAAGCTTAATATCATTTAAATAATATCCAAATTCTTCAAATCAATTACCTTCATATAAGTGGTTTCTTTACAAAGAAAACAACATAAAATATAACCACAACTCTACAAAGACAGTTTTCCCTGCAAACTTCTTGTTAGTCTCATATAACAAAAATGGTCAAATGACCACCTATTGTTAGATGTCAAGTTAGGACAGAGAAATTAAACAGATTCCTAAGAGAATCCTTTGATTTATGCAGCTACTTTAACACTACCACAAAACAACTCTTCATAATTTTTGAAAGAAAATGTTTTTTATTTATAATATTAATTATAACAATATAAAAAGAAATATACTAAAATAGGAGAACAGTCAATAAAAGTTTTCGTACTTGTTTTAGAAAACTATATTCTCAAAAAGTATACAGTAGTACTCAGAATTTACAAGTACAGTCTACGGATTAGAAACATCTATGTCACATAAAGATTTGTTTGCAAAACAAATTCTGGTAATCTATCCAATATATTTCAACTAGAAAGAGAGGGGAGGGGCCTAGCAAACTATATTTATGCATGCATTCTTGTGAAATCTAATGCTGATCAAAATTTAAAAATATATGAAGACAATAACTATTTAATAAATTAAGAGAAGGAAAAAACCTGTTTATAAGGCATTAGATACAATAGTATATTGGTTTGAAAATAGAAGGACATAGTTAATATTAAGCTGAAATCGAATGAGAAACATTTACTTGAGGGTAACGGCAAGCAAATCATAATGGTAATATAAGTTTTTCCACTACTCCATAGTAACGACTGACATTTGTGGCTTTTTAAAAAAGAAATTAAAGACCCTTTCTCTGAATTCATGTTTCATTCTTTCCCTAATTTTTCTTTTTACTATAGCAGAAACAATAGGTATTTTTATTTAGATTATTAAGTTCTATATTTAAATATTCACATTTAAAATATGGAAAATATGTTGCCTATTCATGAATTTAGAGTAAATTTAGTATAAATATATAATAATTATATACTGTACTTTGAGATATATGACAAAGGTACTTCAAAAAGAAACAAACCAGATCTAAATTTGAATTGAAATGGCTAAAATTTGCTATAACCTCCTGATGTGTAGCTGCTAAAAGCAAATGAAGGACTAATTTTTAGAACAGTTCAAAGTTCCTCATATTCAATAATTTCAAGGGTAAATAAAAATAAAGTCAGGAAATATTTTCAAAAACTCTTCTATATCCAAATATTTGCATTGTCATAGTAATAAGTAATAGTTTTGCTTATAAAACTCTTAGAAGTAATATGAAAATTTTAAACAAAATAAAAAATAATATAACTAGTTTATTCCTTGAATATGAAAAAGGCATTCTTGCTTACCTCTGGAGTGACATCTCGTGGAGCAAACCCTGTTCCTCCAGTTGTTAGTATCAAATTAAGTTCCTTTTCATCACACCAATCTATGAGAGTTTCCTAAAAGATAATGAACACACAGAAAAACTGACTTGTTTGCTCAAAATTCTAACTAATCATTTCACAAACAGCATTGAAACAAGATTCTTTCAACAATAAATAAAGACTTCAACTGTCTGTAACTCCAGTTCCAGAGAATCTGACATCGTTATACTAATGCCCATAAAAATAAAGTTAAAAATAAAGTTTATAAATAAATAAATAATAAATAAAGACTTTTTAAAGGACAATTCCGAAAAGTTTCACACTTGACCAAAATATAATTCAGTTTGTGATATTTATTTTTTCAATGATAGAAAACGATGAATCAAACACCAAACTGATGAGAAATGGCATCATTTATAATTTGTTTGTTATGTACTTAAATAGCGTATCTAAAGGTCTTTTCACCATTACTTTTTCAAGTTCAAATATTTTCAAGTTTAAAGTGTAGGAGAGACCCAGCCAATCACCTTACTTGTATGGTGGGGTCCCCTGAGGATATTTTTTTATTTATAAAGATTGTGGGCGCGCTCCCGGCTGCCCCTTCTGCTTTCCTGTTCTCTGCTGGAACCTCTGGTTCTGTAAGTCTATTTCCCAATTAAAGCTGTATATATTATTACAATTTCTGCCTGCATTCATTTACGCCGATACACTTGGTGCCCAACATGGGGCCAGAACCTATGACCCTGAGATTTAGAGTCTCATGCTCTACTTAAAAAAAGCAGGGGAGGGGATTAACTGGTTTGATGGGATGATTGGTATTTGTGAATTACTGTTTTTAGAAAATTGTACTGGTACTGTTTCTTGTATATTGATATATTGAATATTGAATGTGAGTGTTCCTACTTCTATTTTTGTATAAGAGCATGCTTATAACTTTGTCTATATTGTATTGATACATTTACCATATTACAATGTACATTTCTACCTCTGATATTATTTATATAATAACATTGTTTACATTTGATATGTAATGACATTGTTTACAGTTGAAGATTATTGTCTTCATATATTGCACAGTTGTTTATTCTCTTAGTCTTCAAGTTAGATAGGTATTGAGAATTATATGTTTGTCATATTTATTTTTAGGTTAATCAGGTCTTTTAGATACATAGAGATTATATTTAGTATAGATAATATAATCTTCAGCCTCTTCGAAGAGCTGTAGAAAATGGCCTTTAATCTAACCTAGAATTCTGTGCCAATGAGACACAATCACTCCTGGTAACATGTGGGCGCATATTTCGAGATTACACAAAAGCCATTGCCCTAGTTTGAGCTGATTACATAGCTCAGACAAGCTGTCTGTGCCCTTAACAAAAGCCAGGTTGTCTTGCTCCTAGCTTCTTTTGTTGAAGTGTGGATTACCTGAGAAGAGGTGTTGACTGAAACTGGTCAGGATGTTTGGGGTTTCTTTCCTTATGCAATTTGGAGGTTGTCTTATAGAGATGCTAATTCAGGGCCTACCTGACTGCTAGATGCAGAAGTGACCAGAGCCCAGGCACCTGGTTGCCTAGGCAACAGCCTTTGTGTGTTCCAGCTCATTTTGGTGTGGGTATATAAGATGTTTGGACAATAAAGGAGGATTCTGGCCTTTTCCATGATGACGATGTAAGCTGTGTCTGATTATTCCTCACGACTCCGTTCCAGTCTAGTTAGAGAATCTGTGTTGGACCCAAACGGGCTCCGACAGTAACACCACCCTACTCTCGAGAAAACGTTGAGTACCAAAGACACTCCACTGGGAGCTTGTCTTCTTGGCAAAACTGGCCTTTGGGTTAAGAAAAACTCATACCTCAACTACTGACAAAGATACAAAATATCCATAAGTGGATAAAACAGGACTGTCTTATCCTGCCAAGACAGGGTAGGATAGTTCTAAGAAAGTTCCTTGTCTTTAATAATGGTATGTCAGTTATGTTAGGCCTTAGCCAAAGTTGGTTGACTCAACATTGCAAACAAGACTTTGGGTGATTGCCCAGGTAGTCTGTTGTCTCTGTCATTTGTTGCACATTTTGGATATCTCTCGTTTGTTAAGTAATATTAATTCTCTTCTCAGATCTTTGACGGAGTTAAAGATTAGATAATTGTAGTTACTCTCTACCTTATTTAGACTCCTTGAGATAGAATGTTTAACAAAACTTTTGTTATATGTTTCTTGCTCAATATTGTTTGTTATATTTATTATTTGTTACTATTGTATATATTTATATTTGGTTTGGCTCTATCTTATTTAGACAAAAGGGGAGATGTAGGAGAGACCCAGCCAATCACCTACTTGTCCCCCGAGGATATTTTTTACTTATAGAGATTGTGGGCGCGCTCCCGGCCGCCCCTTCTGCTTTCCTGTTCTCCGCTGGAACCTCTGGTTCTGTAAGTCTATTTCCCAATTAAAGCTGTATATATTATTACAATTTTTGTCTGCATTCATTTACCCCGATACATTAAAGAAGTTGAAAACTATATGCTAATAAAAAAATCTTGTTTGACAAAATCAATTCTAGCACCTAAATATTCATACCTTAATTATAAATCCAAAAAAGTAGTCTCATACTTGTTTCTATTATGGATTCAAAAAAAGTAAATATGTTGATAGAATCTCAATTATGTTTATATTTTACCCATTAATGAATATTTTGTGGTGAGGAAAATAAATATTTTGAGGTGAGGAAAGTTTTGTATTCTTCAAAATTAATTTTAAAAGAATTTTATTAAAAAAAGTAGAACTTAAATAATAATTGGGCCCAACCTGTGGACTATAGTCTGTGTTAGAATAAACACATAGTAGGAAAAACTATCCTGAATAATAGAATAATGAAATTGGATGTATTAGTTTCCCTGAACTTAAATTGTACTAATGAGCAACAGTAATAAAACCAGCATGGCATTGACACAAAAACAGACATGCTGACCAAGGGAATTGAGTTGAAGACTCAGACATGGCATCACAAACTGATGGATAACTAGTCCTTGATAAAGAAGCCAGAAATGCACACTGGCAAAAAGATAGCTTCTTCAATAAATGATGCTGGTCAAACTGAATGGCTACTTTAAAACAATGCAAATAAATTCATATTTACACCCTGCAGGAAATTCAAATTCAAATAAAGACCTCAACATAAAACCTGATACACTGAACATGGAAGAAGACAAAGTGGGAAAAGTCTTGAACTCATTTGCTCAGGAAAAACTTTCTGAGAAGAACAAATATCACTCACATCAAATATTAATAAATGGACTTCATGAAACTGAGGGGTGTTTGCATGGCAAAGGACACATCATTCAGACAAAGCAACAGACTACAAAATGCAGAAAAGATTTTATTTTTATTTTTAACCAAGAATACATCTGATAGAGGACTAAGATCAATAAAATGAATAACAGCTCATGCTGGGAAGAACGTGGAGTAAGAGAATAACTTATCTATTGCTGGTTTGAGCAGAAAGTTGTACAGTCAATATGGAAATCAGTATGGCAGTTACTCAGGAAGATCAGAAATGATCTACCTCAAGATAAAGCTATACAACTCATAGACATATACAAAATAGCATAATGATGGAAATAATACATAAGCAAATTCCACAATTTATAGTTTACCATTACATGGGTGAATCTCATTAGATGATTTAAATAAATATAGATACTTTAGAAAGAATGTTTGAAAAAAAATAAAGAAAATTTTGCTTTATTGGGGATTACAAATTACTTATGAAAAAACACAAAGCAGAGATTCTATTAATAATTTAGGCTATATCCAGGAGGATAACTATATGTTTTTCTATAAAACAGGTTTTAAAAAATTTAAACCTCAAAAGGTGCAAATAGGAGAGATCAAGTCCAGACTCTTAATTACTTTCAAAGACTGCTAGGAGACATTTCTAAGCTATGGCAAACTATTGGGATAAAACCTGATGAACTGACTAATTTAAGCCAAACCTTAGATGTTGACAAGGACTTAAAGAGGCCTAGGAAATTAGCAGCTGTAGCTGAGAGAATTAATTTATAGAAGGCACATGTGGATTGTGTGGATCTGAAGCTTAACTGCTTTATAGTCATACTACCCTCCAAACAGTTTCTACAGAAATTTTAATGCAGAGAGAAGATATTATGTTAGAATGGATCTTTTCTCCAAATGAACTGAATAAAAATTTAAAACTTATATGGAAAAAGTCTTTGATTTAATTCTAAAATAAAAATAACGACTTCATTAATTAGCAGGAATAGACCAAGCAGAAACTGTAGTACCAGTCACTAATAACGAAATTGACAAAATATGGGAAGTGAACCCCGGCAAAGAACTTGTAGTAATTTTTGGGGGGAGAGATTAACAACAACTATCTCAAAAGCAAGAGAATACAACTTATAAACAGAACTAGATCCTTCCTCAAACTGTATAGGAAACACCAATAAATGGAGATCCTACATTCTATACTAATGCAAATAAATCATTTTATTTTATTTTCTGAATGGCAGGTTACAAATCAGAAAATTTAAGTAAAGTGGATCAAAGCCCTTATGATTCTGTCCAAAAGTCAGAATTATATGCTATTCTCATGGTACTAGTGGATTTTAAGAAACCTCTCCACATAGTTACCAATTCGTAATATGCAGAAAGTTGTTTTGCATATTGAAACAGCTGAATTTATACCAGATGACGCAGAGTTGACTTTATTACTTATTCAGTTACAAGACATAATCAGGAATAGGAATCATCCCATACACAACACATATTCAATCCCATATGGGTCTGCTAGGTCCTACAGCACAAGGTAAAGCAGAAATTGATCAATTATTGATTGGAAATGTGGTAGAGGCCTCAGAAATTCATAAAAAAATCACATGAATAGTAAAGGTTTATAAAAAATTTTCCATCTTGTGGCAAAAAGTCAATGAAATTATAAGGAAATACCCTACTTGTTCTTTACACAACCAAACACCATGACTACAGGAAGTAAGTCAAAGGGTACTCAAAAAAATAAAATCAGGCAGATGGATGTGTTCAATTTTGTAAAATTTGG